ATCTCCTATAATAATCTGCCCTGCTACCTGATTATCCTTATTATAATTACTGTTTCTATTTCTAATAATTTGGAAGATACCATCTTTCATTTCTTTGCCAAAATTCCAATTGATGGCAACTGAGCCTGTTTCTCTAAACTTTTCCTGCACGGTTTTCTCAAATGCCTGGACTGGCATACTTCACTTCCTAGTTTAGACTTTGAAGGAGAACAGATATAAGTGTTCCTACAAATTTCTTCACCAGCTGCAAAACAGATGACTCCTTCTCCTGAAGATCTACCACTCTGTCATAACTATCCCCAGATCTCTATTTCTGTCAGCTGGCTAGGAGACCATAAGAAGAAAGTGAACGGTTTACTTGGTCCTGAATAATATGAAAGATCTTCATCTGGTAGAAAATCTCACCACTGAAGTGCCACATAGATCTTTATGCCTATATCCAGCATCTCTTCAGCAGCAACAACCACCATAAAATCCACTACAGGAAGAGAAGAGCTACATTAAATGAGAACACTTGTTAAAAACATAATAAAGCAGAGTACCATACAGGAAGCAGAACACCGTTGTGCTATTAATTCCACTTAGGAAAGGCTCGAGAAAGAGGGAAAAAAAAACAAAGCCTGGCTGCCTAAAGAGCAAGGGAAGTTAGCAGAAACAGGACAGCATCCTCCAACAGACTTAAGAATTAGCAAATGAAGAAAGAAATAGAATTTTAAACTCTGATGTATAAAATTAAAAATATAATTAGGTGGAGGGAAAAAAAATCTGAAAAACAACTAGCTAAAGGAATAGCAACTAAGTCTACAAACAGGCATAAGGTGCACTAGAGCTCTATATTACGTATTAATAGTCAAGGAATAAAGAAGCACTCAGAAACGAGAAGGCCATTTGCATGCTTAAATGCACTCTTTGCACTGATGTTTACTGTGGAAGAAAGCTAGTTAGGTTGCACGTCATAGTCTTTTTTTGTGAGGGGGGGCAGAACAGTATCTATATGAACAAGATATGGTGTATCTATGGTCAAAATAAGCACTAAGAAATAACCAGGACCAAATGACATTCACATGCAACCTCTAAGAGAAATCTATGATGAATAGCTAAATTACTAATGATTAAGCTGAGCTCACACTTAAAATTGCCTGGTGTGACAAATACAATTCCCATTTATTCCAACAGTTTTCAAGTGGACATACAGGTTTCTGAGACTGTAATCTGTGCAGGACTTTTTAGCAGATAGTACAACAATGCTAGGACAAGGAGATATATGAATAAGTATAAAGGGGGGGAGGGGGAGGAAGGGGTTTGCTTCTGTAATGGGAAGGCCAGCATTACAAACCTCTTGAAGTTCTGATGAAGACATCAGAACACAAATGGATGAGGATTATCTGACTCAAAACTCCAGTTTCCAAATGGTTTTCCATAGGGTTCCTATATAATCAACAAAACACCAGAGGAAACCATTTTGGGGCAAAAAAAAGAGTTGCTGATAATTCCTGTTCTTACAAAGCATTCAATTAGAATTACAGAGCTAAAATATATTCTGAATCTAGAACAATTCAGGAGTTACAGTATTGCAAGAAAACTCAGACAATGCCCCAGAAAACTGCATCTGAACTAATTCAGATTTCCCTCCAGCTTCAGCGAGTGCTGAGCTCAGTAGTGTGAAAGACTTATTGCTGCGTTTTCCTGGCAGTCTCATTTACTCAGATTAAAACTCAGGTGTAAGAAAGCAATCCAGTCCAAATCTCCTTCTTACTCCCCTAAGTGTTTTTGAAGCGTTTGTAAGTGCACCTAGTGCAAATTTATTTGTATTGTTTTGTAATTTATAAAAGAAATAATTCCTGAATATTAAATGAATCTTTGTACTTAATTCCACTTTATGTGAATACTTTCATTTCATACACGTTAAATATTCGAAAAACTGTTTCATGTTGCTTTTCTGTGTCTTGAAGAGACTTTGCCTCTCAAAACTTATCTGTAATAATAATTCCTCACTGTTCCTAATGACTCTATTTTCCAATAGATTTTTCTAAATAAAAAATATGTATAACTTCTCAAATGCAGTTCTTTCAACCTCCCTTTATTAATGTGTTATGTTGGTGAGCATAAAAATCCTGGTTTTTTCTATCCTCCCTTAGATACTATGTAATTATGCAGAAAGGCTATGGAAAAAATTACTTCCTTGCAACAGAGATGGCAGCATCAATCTCCTTTCACTGAAAAATAAAAAAAAAAAAAAATTAAATCCAGAGTTTGTCCTTAAAAAACTGCATATAAGAAAACAGCTAGATACCATCCTTTTAGAAATAACTTTGTGGGATTTTTTATTATTCCTTTTCCAAACATGGTGGGGGTTCTGTGACATTGTGGAAGTTTCTTTGAAGTGTAACTTTGTAAGAAAAACCATTGTAACAAAACTAGGCCAGAATTATTCATTACAGTGGCGAAACCACGCAAATCTTCACAATGTGTCTCACCCGTATTCATTGGGCTCTTTTTAAGTTTTTTTAAACCACGGCCGTCAGCTAAATCGCCACCCAGCCACTTCTATTTCTGTAGCACTGCAGAGATTAAACACGGATTTCGACTCACACCTCCACGGCTTTGCCACCCTAGCAAGAAGCAAAGATTCACGATGTCTATTTGACATGATGGCCTGTGCTGCTGGCAAGCTTAGCCTGAGGTAAAGCGATTCCGTAATCGCTTCTCACTCCGACTGTCGTAATTGCTTTCGCTTCCTTTTGTCACGCCTGAGCTTTCCCACCGCCCCTGTGGAGCGCGTTAGCCATTTCCCCTGCCTCACCTCAGGAACCCGCTCCGCCCGGCACCTTCCCGCGGGCACCCGACAAAATGGCGGAGACCGGCACGGCGCGTC